GAGATATACACCTGCCAGAACTGTCCACGGGTGCTGGCTTTAAAATTGGCTTAAGTGCTATTGTTGGTGCAGTTGATAGTGCACCGAAGATCTCGATGAGAGCCGCTCTCAAGTGTTTTAGCCAGAGTAACCTTTTCGAGCGCCTTTCACCAGACCAGTTCACCGTAGAGCATTATTGGCTTCACCTTTCCTTCTAGGTACTTTAGAAAAATATAGTTCAACCGTTGCTTCCTAACTCTCCTCAATATTTGGCCTCTAAGAAAATTTATGCTAAGCCACCGCCACTAACATGTTGACGACGTGAATCTCCGAAAGTGGGGAGAGGGACCTTTGGGGTCTTACACCATCTAGTAAATAAAGCTCTTTCACTTTTACTTGGATTGATGGCTAGGCCGTTTCTATTTGCTTAACGGCTTTAAAACCTCCTGTGGGTTATCAAGTATTGTAAAAAAAAATTCAAATATTGCTATCTCTTCACTTTGCCCGAAATATAGTTTTTTTTTTGTTTTTTTGGCTTTCGTTAACTATTCAGAGCGTAAGGAAAATCAAATTGTTCAGATCGGATTATAATTTTTATAAAAAGCATAGATAAAAAAAAAACAGGGAAAAACTTCGGCTGCACTGAAGCTTCAATATCCTCCACAGGTATATTGAAATAAGCTCCAATATGTTAAACTAAATCTTAAAACGTAATTGGCTATTTATATCTATCAGAAAACCTTTTGTAAGTGGTTTCTAGCAAAGTTTTTTAATGTTTCTTTATGAAGATCATTATTTTGAAACTAAAATCGAATTTTTTTAAAACCCTATATTGCCTAAGTCCTTGTTAACTTGGTATTTCTCTTTCCATTGCAATTGATAACAGCATTGCAGCAAAAGTTGCTTATTCGCTTTTGTTGCCATTAGATAGCAATAACACATAACATTACATAATTAATTATAATAATTAAAATTTTATAGGTATATGGTTATATAGATATAATTACTAAGGAGAGTGATTACACACCATACTCCCATTATCAGAAGGAACGCAGTCTGCGTATCGTACGATATTTATATTTTATTTTATGACGATCTCCGAAAGGCCTGATCTGTTGAGTGTTGGCATCTAAAAAAAATTAAATTAATCAGCTGATTGTAAAACTTCTAATTTAATAGAATAAAAACAGATAATTAAATCGGACAAGCAATATTCGCGTCTAAAGCGAATGATATATACCAAATGTGCAGAAATAAAAGATATAATCTTGACATGAACAATGCAGTGGTTAATGCAGAAATAAACTAGTTTTACAAGTTTCAAGGATAATGAAGAAAATATATTCAGAATGAGTACATTCCTAATCCATATCTGCATTTCAAATTAGAATTCATTCTGCAGTAGCCTTATTATCGTTACTAACCGGTTACTCATGGCGTATACGTTACTTGGAAAAGTAATATTCCCATTTTTTTCTTTGTGAATCCTACATTATTACCTCAACAACATCATTTTGAAAACAAGGAAAAACGTTAACTTCGGTTGCACCGAAGCTAATATAAAAACTGAGGGACTGGTTCGTATATATACAGACAGACAGACAGACAGACGGACATGGCTAAATCGACTCAGCTCAACGTACTTATCATTTATATATATATTTTAAAGGTTCTCAGACGCTTGCTTCTTTGTGTTACAAACTTCGTGACAAATTTAATATACCCTGTTCAGGGTATAAAAAGTGTAAGAGGAGCAGTGATCTCTTCGTATAATATATCCATATTTTTTATTTTATTCAGGTATTCTTGTCTATATGTCCGAGTTTCGAACGGTTTGTGATAATTGATATTTTATTATTCTTTTTTTTTACAAAAATTAATTAATGGCAATTTCTGCGGATTTTGTGAAGAAATTTAATCCAAGAAGTATAAGAAACGAGGTGAAATAGAATTATGCAATACGAGTATCATATCGTTTTTAGACTATTATAAAATATTTTTGAGGGTTTTGTTGGATTTGAGAGTTGAGCTTATCGTAGATAAAGTAATTAAGAAATCTTCTCCAAATTTTTCCGTTAGAATATATAGAAAGACCAAATATATCCTGCCCAACTATTGGATAGCTTTGGCACATAAAAACTGTTCTGCTATTTGCTCTTTGCAAGAATTAACATTAAGCTCTTTCTTGGTTTTCTGCTAAAAATCTCGCATGTAAAACTCTTGCGCACACGCATGACACTAGCAATTAATTTTGCGCAACACCAATAATTCCAAGCATGACGAGACTACGCCAACAAATATTTAAATTAATTATACATACATACTATATAGTAGAATAACAACAACAAACAAACATTCCACCCACTAAGCTATATGCAAGCGCACGACGACCACCGACTGCTGGGCGCCTCAAGCGAAGACGTGCAGCGCGGCAGGTAGCGCCAGCAGCAAGTCGCCGAAGCAAAACCAAAAACTAAAATAAAACAACAAGAGTAATCAATTTTTGCATAGCAAATGCCTCAGCGAAGAAAAAAAAAATGAAAACAAATTTTCCAATTTGCAATAATTTTTGCACAAATTTTTAAATGATTTTATTAATGATTTTTTCGCAATATTTAATTTGTTTTGTTGTGGTGGAATGCAAGTGCAAATTTTAACTAATATAAAAATTTAATTGACAATTTTCGATTTCGAAATGCGCATAAATATTATTGCAAGAATATTTAGATTTATATGACGAACAAGTTTGAGCAGAAAATATTTGAGTTTTTCATTAAAAAGAACCAGGAAAATTAAAAAAAAATATATTCGCAAAAGTTTTCTAAACGCAAACAGTGTTGTTGCATACGAAAACGTGTATAAACAACAACCACAGTAAAATTTGGCGGCAACAACAAAAACAACAATAATATTGGCAATTAAAGAAACAGTATTAACAGCGCTGAATCAGCGGAAAAATATGCAAGAATTACGAATTTCTGCCGCTAGAATTATTTACGTCAAAATTATCGTGACAAAACAAGACACCGAATATAATAATATACATATATATAAATATAGCCGCATAATATATAGATGTATACAACTTATTATGAGTACTTTTTCTACAAAATTAATATGTATGTTTCTTACATTACCACCAAAAGAAAAAAAAGAAAGTGTTTATTACAGCGTCAAAGTAATCCTAGAGTAGAGCATCTAACGAATATTTCGCCAACCTTGTGTGAGCATCATAATTTCATGCGCGTTTGGCTGATCCGCCAGCGATAAATTCATAATTCCACAGGGCAGCCAAGCAAGAAAGTGAGTGGGAGCATTTTGTTTTTGTTTATATTTCGGCTCAACACCCGAAGTGCAATAACGCTAAGTATCGTCTTTGTAGAGAAATCCACATTCCCTCTGAGTGTATGCAGTTTTATAGAAGATGCGCGAAACCAACGACATCTTGCAGCATCAGCATCAGCATCATCTGCATCATTATAATTTGGTGCACCTTCTTACCTGCGGTCAGTGTGCGCCTACGCCGTCGTGGCTGTGTTCTTTTGGGTTGCTGCCAGCTCATTGAGTGGTCGAGTGTCCCGTTGTTACATTGTGGGAGCTGTCAGTGCAATGAGAGTGAAAAATTTATGTCTAATCTTGTCTAATGTTGGCAAAACGAGACAGCCGAACCGGGTACTCGCAGGTAGCTGCATTTCTTTGCCATTAGCGTCAAGCAACCAATAGCGCTTTTAGCAATTCTTTAAAAATACAATTAAGAGGTCCGACCATGTCTACCTCCATGGCCAACAGGTCATATTCTTCCTTCTCATCAACCGCAATAGTGGGTTGAGTACCAACTTCGCTGGCGTCAGTTAGGAAGATTTTTAGAGCTGCTCTTTTAAAGCCCTTTTTTATGGCACTCTTGGATTACTTGAGAGGCCTGTGGGACTCCGTACAGAGCTGTATTAGTGCTTGGTCGCTTCATTAGTTCATAGTCAGACCTAAATCCGATGGGATATCGTCCACTAGGAACACTGCCTCTTTGTAGAGAGTTGCAGATTGCTTATCGCCATATTTTATGAGTTTGCTAAGCCGGAAATTTTACACCTTGAGGTGGACTAGAGTTCCCTTCGCGAAAATGGCCGCACCTACCCTTACTCCTACGCACCTACCTCACTCTTCCAAAAAAAAATAGACCATCTTTCCTACAGCGGTCGCATACTCATTCCTTCTCTCAGCAACCTTCTGGTTAACTCTAGCTTACTGGCACGTTAAATAGTTCCTGATTAGCCTGTCTGTCAAGGAAGCGCTCCTTAGTTGTCATATATGGGCTTCCGTGCCCGTAGTGATGCCCATAATTGTAGCAAAGGTTTTTTTGTTCGTTACGTTAATGCCTAATCATTGCCCATGTCAGAGCTAAAATCCAGTCCAGGAGTTTGTATGACCGTGAAGGTGGCAGTTCATTTAGCGTTACTCAGGACGCACCTTTTCGGGGCGACCTGCACTACATGCCAGTACTGATGGAAGATATATACAAAGCTTTCCCTTAATTACTCGGCCGTCTTCATTTATGGTACCATGACAATTTTGCTTGCAATTCCTCAAGAACCTTTGTGCTCTGAAGGTCAGGCAAGTTATAAAATCGTGTTTCATAAACTTCATCTATGTACCGTATATATTTCAATAGTCTTAAACCACAAGATCGTGGAATTCAATGAACGTCCAAATTTATTTGCTCCCTGAATACTTAATTAACTAAAACCGCAAGAATACCAACACTATTTGTAGACGCTTTCAATGGTCTACACGGCATCGAGCACTCAATTTGAATCGAATTAAAATCAAATTAAGAAATTTGAAAAGATTTCGTTAATTTCACTCACATATTCACGCTCACTCTCTGTGAGTATATGCATAGTGCTCATGATCGGGCGTGTTAGTAGTTGAATCTCGGCGATCGCGTCGTCATTTATTTTGAGATCAAGCATATTTCACATAGTTATTTAAATAATTCTGCGATTTTCGAATAAAAGCGTTGTAAACTGGAAAACGGCGACAGTTTGCCAACGGCTACGCAGCGCGAAATATTAAAAAATCTGCCAAGTGAAAGCTCTCATGCTTGACTTAACGGTAGACGTGTGCAAAAATAAAAATAAAATAAGAAAACAACAAAAAAAAAAACGAAAAGACAAGTGAAACAAGTGCATTGACAAAGGATTATTTAATTACGAAATTTGAAATAATTTTTACTGAAATTTAAAAGTTTAATTGCCACGCTGTGCTTGTGTACACCTACTAACGACTTTGCGGATTTCCATTTTAATAATTTTGTTAATAACACACGACAATTATGATTTGTCCGAAGCGCACCGCAGAGTTAATCACACTCCATCTGGCGCCTTTTAAGGACACCGATCCTGCTTGGGAGATAGGTGTTTCGAAAATAGCTGGACGCGGCATTTTCGCCACACGCGACATCAAACGTGGCGAAGTGATCTTTCGCGACAGTCCGCTGGTGATCGGTCCTTCTGCGCGCGCCGAGGATACGCTCAACTCGTGTTCGAATTGCTTCAAAATGTTGCCGGATACAAAGTTTATGTGTCGTCAGGGTTGTGGTTTGCCCATCTGCTCGCTGTGTGGCAAAAAGCAACAACACAAAGCCGATTGTACGCTCTTCAAATCGTGGAAACCTTGCGAACCGGATGTGGCCAACTCGCTGCTTATACGCTTGCTGTGCGTTGGACGTGCCATCAATTTGACCAAGGATCAACGCGATCTCATCTATTGTTTGCAAGCAAATTTGGATAATAATCATCGTACTGAAGTGCGTAATGCCGCTAAGGGCTTCAACGAATTCCCCACCGACAAAAAAATGATCGAGATTATGAATCGTACCGTTGCGGTGTTGCGTACGAATGGCTTCGATGAGACCGTCGATCGTTCCAACGATAATGCAGAGTTTCTCTATCGCGCTTTATTCCCATTATTTGCTGTCATGAATCACGATTGCATTCCCAATTCATATTACACGTTCGAGGAGAAGACCAGAAATATGGTGGTGCACGCTTCGGTGGATATACCGGCAGGCACTGAGATCACCACTACATATACGAAATTGTTTACTGGCAATATTGCACGCCATTTATTTTTGAAAATGAAGAAAGGTTTCACCTGCAAGTGTCCGCGTTGCTCCGATCCAACAGTAAGTGTGCTTGTGTGATAAAAATTGTGAAGAAAGTGGTCTGTGAAAGTGAAATTGTTGGAGAACAGAAAGTGTGTTATAGGAAAAGACTTAAATGCTTCAAAACGTGTTCTGTTACTGTCTATTCAGGCGTCTTTAAATATTTCTGAAAGTGAGTCTCTAAAGATTTTCTTTTCTCAAAATTGTACCAACTGTGACGAAATCAATATGAAAAGTGAATAGAATTTTTAAATGATGAAAATTAATAAGTGTGAAGCAATATTCGTCGAAGTTCTGGTAGAGTTTTGAAGTGGTGTTTCTCAAAATTGTTTTCTATAGATGAGCTTAGGTTTTAATAAAGTGGTTGTTTAGAAAATTTCGTATTCATATTTCGCTAACATAATTCAGTTTAGCTTATCAGCTCTCCAATAAGACCAAAAATTATACTTTTACTTCCGTCATACTTCGAAGCAGATTGTACCATACTATAACTCAATTAAAAGTTGTGTCTTTATGAATTCTTAACTTTGGTCGTTTTGCTGTTTCGGAAACTCTGAGTTTGTTATCTTTGATTTGATATGTGATGATTGATATGATTTGATAAACTGAAGTTTTGAATCCTGCACAAATTCTATGATGTGGTAGATTTTGCCTCAACGGTGTTGAAGGTAGTTATTAGATCGAAGTCGTTGCACCCTTACTCTTGCAAAAGGCAGGAGTCTATCTCCCATTCTTCTAAGCAACTTCCAAGGTAACCGGGAAAATGTTTATCTAACCGTAGGAATATATGTATATATGTATATACATGAGCAGATATAGGACCCTTGCAACTAGAGTTCTTCTTTCCATCAGCTACAATCCTCTTGCATTTCACCTCAGAGCTAAATGACATTGCTATCACAGATGTTTTGGAGATTGACTCGGTAAATTTAAGTTGCTGCTTAATACACGAAGAAGAAGGATTTTGTACACAATCTAATTTGACCCGGACTGCCCAAACAAAAAATACATATTCACGTAATTCAATTGAAGTCTTTATTTCCAGCTTCGAAATAACCTTCTGAGCCAACACAAGCTCGCTAATTATTCGAATTTTCCATACACTTGTTATAAGCATCGACCGTAATGGCCTTCAGCGCTTTCAGAGTCTTCAGCAATGTTTGTGTTTTTCGATTTCGGCTAATTTCTAGAACGCCATTCGCTAAATTGTTTTGACGATTTTAACGTCAGATTCCTAAGAGCCGTTTTGCTAACAATAAAGACGCCATTGACGGAAGTAGGCATCTGAGCTATGTTGGACATCCTTTTTGCGAAATATTCAAGTCTTTTGATATGAGTATAGATAATCCATATGAGATGTTGAGATCCTCTGCTAACTCTACGAATCCAACACGATTATTTTCAAGGGCCGTTTTTTTTTTTTTGTTAATTTTTCGTTGTAGATGGTTGACTTCACTGAATGCTTTGTGGCACTCAAATATTTGAATTTGTGCTGAAGTAGAGTCCACAAAACATTGAAAGCAGAGTGGTTGGCCTTGTCTCGCCAACAAGCAAATATTTTAATCTATTTAATTGATCCAAAGGTCTTATGTCGCCATTTACTTAAGACTTTACCTCAAATTCCAAAAACTTAATGCACATTATACGAGTTATTTACTACTCATAGTTCAATTTTTTTTTATTTTTGGAAAATTTATGACGATAATTTATAGAAATAGTCGACTAATTAACAACAAAAACGTAAATATATTCATGAAATATGTGACAAAAATAGCGCGTTAAGGCGCTCAAAAATAAATAAATTATAAAATATTTGTATGTATATGTATTGACTATTTCTAAAAGTATATAGGTGTAACTTTTTCAATATTTGTATAGAAATATGTATTTTTTCCGAGGGGGTTGCTACGAAAACGCCCTGCAATTAAGCAGTTGACTATAAAATAAATTTATTTAGACTTTTTGCAGTCACTTAGATTTTTAACGAATTAGGTGAAGGCATTTAAATAGGTATATATTTTGAATACAAAACGTCTCATGCTGTTCAGAAATGCCTTAAGTGTTGTTGTAGCATTTAAATAATTTGTTAGTGCGCCTTAGAGAGTCTGCGATGCGTATGAAAATATGTGGCATAACAAATTGGTGGATTTTATGATTGGCATAAAAGAAAAAAATATTAGAAGATGTACATACTTATATTACGATGGCGCTCCAATAAGTGCATTTTCCGATAAAGAAGTCGAACATTTTGGAAACGGTGATTAAATTCTCTACACAGTGGCTATCTTCTTTATCTCGTCTGAAAAATAATTGTTCTTGAGATTTGCGAAGTAGGGCTTTATAGCGGCAATAACTTCTTTCTCCCATACCTAGTTTACAGTGGAAGGGTAATTTCTTCTTCATCTTTACCGGGTAGACACCGATTACGCGATTATAGACGAGTTAAAAACAGCAACAAGAATCATAAATCTTCCGTAAAACCTTTCTCAAGGATACAGTCATTTGTAGAAGTTCTCGCAAGTGAGGAAAGTTCTCTGATTGTCATTCACTTGGGAGTGGCCAGAAATGATTCTTTTACATATTTAGCTCAAGCAGCTCACGACTTTCGCACCTAGATCAAGCATTCTCTGGGTAGCCAAAGAACTTCCTTTTGATGACGAGCTAAAGTGAGAAGGCCAAACACCCCCTTCACAGGATTGTGCGCCGGGTTTGGGACCCGCCACGTAATATTCGTCCCCTATGAAACTTATCTCGACCAATTTTGCCTTGACAACTTGTCCGTTTTTTCTGCAATTCGGTCGAAACGGTTTCATAATTCGGCAAAATTTGATGAACCATATAATACAACTTGTTCGGGAGGGTAGCGCGCAGGCTACTATTGCGACTGTACCTTGGCCTCTAATCGCCATACTTTCATTTAGATTATTCCTTGTAAGTCTGGGAAAATAGAGGACAGCTCTATTTTTGCCTACTTTTTAGAGACCATGTATCCTATGTGTACCAGGGGATTCCTCTTTCGACAATAGTCAAGAAACGACACAAAACACTTGCTTCGGAGTGCTCTTAAAAAGCGGCACACACTTCTATGGAGTCGTCTTACAATTGAAGTTTCTGTTCGGAGTGAACAAACACGGAATCCATCTCTTCCACAGCTGTCTCATACTTAATATTTTATATAGGATGGGATCCGCACTGTTTTTGAAAGCCTACTATCACAGCTATTTTACGATCTTGCAATCAATATGAGATCGTGGACTTTGTCCGCTTGGCTAAAACTAGCCGATTTCATGGGACTGGTTTTTCAAAAACCGACGTAAGACCACGTTATAACTCGTTAAACCCATTTTTTTACGGGCCTATGGAAGAGGAAAAATCACCATGAGTTCGCTGGACCCTTCCCTTTCAAAAACCTGAACCGAACAGACGCTTTTTAAATTTTTGAATTTGTCGAGGCACCAATTATCAAATCATGAGTTCGATTCAGAGTTCTGACTGCATCTCTTGAGATTGTACAACCACTGTTCCGTTAATGTTAAGTGCTTATGGGCTGTCCTCGTTTGAAGAAAATTTTAAAAAATCTTTATTGTATCAGGAAAATCACTTGGTCGGGTGCAAAATTTGCCATTAAGAAGAAATCAACGCAAATAACGTTCGATCAAAATATGATTTTCTGAGGAAATTCCAATAAATAATAGCAACACACATACAAAATACTTGCCAAAATATTTTGCTTTGTCGCTTAGTGGAAAAAATTGTTAGACTAGTATATTCTACAAGTTTTTCTGTTTATTTCCCTTTTTGCTTTCGCTTGCCTCGCGGCAATAAGGTGCTAATTTAATTAGTAATCATATTTTCTTATAAAAATAAACGCTCAGAATTTGAGCGAACGATACGTGTGTGTATGGGTAAAGCGAAAAGAAAATGTAAAAAGAAATCAAAAAATACCGAATGAAATTCGGAAAAGAAAATATTTAATTGCGTGGAAAAGCAGGCCAAAACAAAAACAAAAACACAATCGAGCAAGTGGCTGCTGTGAGTCGTCTTGTTGCACGTATACTTGTCAAATTGACTGACGGGTTGTGCGATCATTTTCGACCTAATGTTGTTGTTTTTGAACTTGGACCACACGCAGGCAATCGGCTTTCGTTAAGTACGCCGAAGTGGCGGCTGCCCGGAATATCTCGTTGGCAATTTTTGTAGAATTCAAGTGACGAGAAAATTGCTTTCAAATCAAAATAGGAAACATAAAACATTTGTATATTTCGTTGCTTCTAGAATGACGAACAGTTTTTGAATAATAACAAGTGGGCATATTTTATAGTTAGGAGTGCGTTAAGTGAAAAATAATTTATTGCGGAACTAATGAAGTGTAGTAAATACCATCATTTTTTCATAATTTTTTTCCGGCCAATATAAAAAGTATTTCTTTAAAGAAAATTCTTCTCCAATTTTCATTCAATTATTTGCAGTATTCTTAAGACTCTATTTATTAAGTAAAATCAAGTCAACTGCCATTAATTTGAGATATCGGATATTTAAGTCTTCACAAGCGAGATAAAGTTCCGTCATTTTACAACATTCGCAATATCCGATAAAATGTTTTCAATCTTTGTAAAAATATACACCTCTGCAGCCATTATTTGGACTTGAAGCGCATACCTTTCGATAGACCTTTTTACAATAATCTGCTAGACGTACGATTTAGATTTAATGTTTTTAGGCCATCTTTGCAATCTCTTTATTTTACAAACTGTATATGATTCTTCTTCCCTGACTAGCTAATGGGTGCACCTAATTGAGAGGGTATTCTGTAAAGTAACAACAAACCCAATAGTATAATATCTGATCAACCCGGACTGACAAGAAAAAACAACAATTTCAATACAATTAAATGGGTTTTCAATAGGGCACTACAAAAGTAGAGCGATAGCTATAGCAAACGACGGTTCATGATGGCAAATTTTACTCCTGTAAAAGTACATTCGTAAGTACTCCATGAGCCACCATTTCATCCAGAAAAAGATACGGTTTGGTACGGTTTATGGGCCGGCGATGGTATTGAGCCGTACGGCTTCCGTGATGATCAAGACCGGCACGTTACTGTCAATGGAAATCGCTACCGCTCAATGATAACCGAACATTTTTGACCCGAGTTATGTGATATGGACTTGGACAATATGTGGTTCGAACAGGACGATGCCACAAGCCACATAGCGAATGTCACAATCGATTAATTGAAAACAATGTATGGTGAACGTGTTATATTACGAAATGACCTAGTCAATTGGCTAACAATATCGAACAAAGAATTTGTCTAAAATATTGTATTTCTAACCAAATTTCGTGTGCGGAATTATTGCGAATATTGACAAGGACTTACGATACTTCAGTTTCATCAAAAACACAAGCCTATGAGTGGTACAAAGCCATCAAAAACGATCGAGAGATCCTTAAAGACATGCCTCGTTTTTGACCACTTCCGACCGCTTCAATCATTCTGCTCTCTTAAATCATTTTTAATTTTTTTTTTTTATAGCTTCTTTATTTCACTTTCAAAAATAGGCAGGAAGCTTTAAATAACATCAGATCAGAGGCGAAGGTTAAGTTATGTGCTTTGGTTGGAATAGAGAATATTGAAAAATTCTTACAATTTGTTTTCGTTTTTATGAAAGCAAAAATTTTCTAATTGTTTTTATTTATATATAGTTATGAATTCAAATACAGATGGTAGAATATTCGCTCAAGAAACAATAACACGAAGAATTGAAGTGGGGATATATTATAGTATGAATATAAGTATATCTTCAGGTAGAAAAAGCTTAAGCAGACTAAGCATTAACTTTAATATTTATGGGTTATAGTAAAGCGGATGAATTTTTGTACTTTACTTTAAGAAAATGCAGATATATGTTTACTCTCAAAAATTTCACTAAATTAGAGCTCGTTTTTATATGTCAGATTTTTAAAACAAGAATAGTGGGAATAAATATTTTTCGAAGGGAATCAAAGCAGGCTGAACGTATTTTACAATTTACTCTTGATATGAGTAACCTATTTGAGTGCGTGTGAGTTCTGTGCGTGGCTTTTCAAAGAAATGTTCATATTTTCTTCAAATAGTAACCATATCCTCCAATTCTCTTTTCCCCTCCTCTTCAATAAAGGAAAAAGGCGCCTTCATTTCCGCACTCTACTGTCGCGATACAAACTGTACAGGTTTTGCCGTACCCGAAACCACCGGTCTGCCGCATCCCAACTGGAACTGCTTGGTTTGCAAACAGAAATCGACGCATGCGCAAATGATGAAAGCACAAGACTTCGCTTCAGGCGCGATTAGTTCCAAATTCAACTCGAAGTCACTTAAATCGGTGGTGCTATATTTGAGAGACAAAAGTTCCGGCTTCATACCGGATAGCAATTATGTTGTAATCGATGCTAAATTGCAAGTAATAGCGCGTCTGTCGAAGAGTCGAGAGGATTGTGAGGATGGAGAGGCAGCGGCAAAGGCAAAATTCTGCGAGGATATATTGGAGATTATGGACAAGCTAGGGCTGGGTGATTGCGTGATGCGAAGCTATTTGGAGGCCGAGAAGGCGAAAGAGGTGAAGTAAGCGGCCGTTGAAAAACCAATGAAGAAAATTATATATTGATGGAAGAAGAATATGTAAAAACCAATGAAAATCGCAGCTGTGTTTAAAATTGGCTGCAAAACATGTTTATGTATAAGTTAATTTTGAAAAAATTAAACAAAAATACAAAAATGCTGTTAGCGTATTTATAATATGTAAGAAAATGTTTATGTATTTTTTGTTATAAATTTTAATAAAAAAATTTACTCTATGCTGCAAAGACACACTGACACTGAACTCTTAAGAAAACAACCAAATAACATTACAAAAACAAAAATAATAATTATAATTAATTGTGCCTCGAATATTCATTGTAAATAGTGTTACTCGTACTTTGTATTGTGAATTATTTATGTGTATGAAAATAAAAGTACTTAAAATTAAAAACAAATATTGAATCATTTGTTTTAATAAACAAAATTTAAGATAAACAATAGTTTAATAAAACTTAAAATAAATTAATAATCTTAT